GCCTTTACCTTTTTATACCCAGTGTCTCATGAGAATTCCTTATCTCATCCCCTTGCCTCCAGTCTCTCCTTCTCCAGTTTCCCCCAAGTTGTTTTTATGATCATTCTAAAGTGCAAATCCGGCTCCACTGTTCAAAATTTTTCAATGGCTCCACACTGCCCACAGCAGCATGATTTCAACTGCAGATTTTTAAATCCCTGAAATCACATGCATGATTTGCATCTTTCTGAAAAGAGTTTCAGATTCTCAAAGGGGTCTGTGATCCCACCTCAAGTTCAAACTCAAGTCCAAATTCCTAATCATGATATAAAAGGCTCCTCAGGTTGTGGCTCCCAGCTTCCCTCTCAAATCTCTTCTCCAGTCACTTCTCCTAAGCAGCCCAAACTGAAGACATTCTGAAATCCTCTCCATTCCCTGGACATGCCACACCTTTTTCACTCTCCACATATTTATGCCTGCTGTTCTATCTAGAATGCTCTGGCAAACTCCTACACATCCTATGGCTTAGCTCAACAGCCACCTCCTCTGTGAGACTTCCCTGACACCCTCTGGCCAAGTCAATCTCCACAGCACTATTCAGACCTTCATCATTCATCACATTACGTAGTCATTGTAGGCTTCATCTGTCTCCTCCACCAAACCATGAACTCTGGAACTCAGACCCTGAATAGATAGTCCACAAATGTTTGTTGAAATGATTCACTCATGCTCAAAAAAAAACTAGAGTGCTCTTTCTAAAATGTAAATCTAACTGTTGCTTTCTGCATTCCCAATTCCTTCAAGGCCAAACTTGTTACTGGAACTTTCTCTCTGGCCTTATCTTACAATACTTCCCTTTTTCTACCCCAGGAAGACTGAACTTCTTTTAATGCCCCAAATTAATGCTGTTTCTTGTTTTGGGATTTTGCACAAGCTTCTCCCTCTGCCTGGAACATTCTCCTGCTCCTCTTAGCCTGGCTAACTCCTCTATTCTTCAGATAGCTTAAATACCCCTCCAGGAAGCCTTCCTGAACACCCTCTCCCCTTAGACTAGGCTGAATGCTCCACCTACATACACATCCCCATAGCACTCTGCACTCCCATAGTCCCTGTACTTTCCCGCGGTCAACACCCATCACACTGTGTCATAATGACTTGTCTTTCTTTCCTGCTAAACTGTAAGCTCTGTGTCTATCCTGCCCACCAGTGTATCTCCAGCCCCAAATAAAGTAGTACTTAGAAGGGAGTAGATACCTAATGGAGCCCTGGTAGCACAATGGTTAGGAGCTCAGCAGCTAACCCAAAGGTTGGCAGTTCAAATCCAGCAGCTGCTCCTTGGAAACTCTATAGGGCAGTTCTACTCTGTTCTATAGGGTCGCTATAAGTCAGAATCGACTCAACGGCAATGGGTTTGGTTTTTTCGTTTTTAGGAACCTAATAAATACGTGCTAAATGAATGTTAGATGAATGAATCTCTCAATCTTAAATCTGACTTCCAATAGTTCTCCATTGCCTTTAGAATAAAGTGAACATTCCTTATGTCTTAGTTTCCTAGGACTGTCATAACAAAATAGCACAAACTGGGTGGCTTATAAGAAAAGAAATTTATTGTTTCAGTCTGGAAGCTAGAAGTCTAAATCAGGGTATCGGCCACACTGATTCCTTCTGCTCCATGCTCCTCTCCTACCTTCTGGTGGGGGCTCATGGAAATCCTTGGTGTTCCTTGACTAACAGCTGTATCTGTCTCTGTCATCACACGGCTGTCCTTCCTCTGTCTCTGTGTATATTCTTTTTAATGAGGATAACAGTCACATAGGAGTAGAACCCACCCTACTCCAGTATAACCGTATGTGAACTGATAATAACATCACAGACCGTAATGCCAATTAATGTCACATTCACAGGTACAGGGGTTATGACTTCAACATATCTTTCTGGGAGACACAATTCAGTCCGTAACACCTTATCATGGTTTTCAGGGCACTTTATGATCTTGTCTCCATGTCTTTTCAGTTTTATCTCTTACAAACCCACCTTTCGATCTCAACGTCTCATTAAAACTCTATACAGCAATCCTATTGAACTGAATGAAGGTTCCCAAATACTTGCTCTCCTTTCAGCCTTGGCAGGACTGTTCTCTTTGCCTGGCACACTCTCACCTCTCCTCATGTCTCACTCTTCCTTTTTCTGGTTAACATCTACAAATCTTTCAGTTTTCAGTTCAAATGCCACTTCCTCCAGGAAGCCTCTCCTGACTTCCTAAAACCTGCTCGGTTGCCCTTTTTTGGTACCCCTATTGTACTTCTCACCATTCTCTCTGTTTTCCCAAGTAGATGGTGACACAAGAGACTATACTGTGCTCACTAGGATGTCTTTAATGTGGCTGAGTGCCTGCCCACAGTGGGCACTCCATAAATATCTGTGGAATCAACAATGTTGCCTGGTCTTATTCTTTACCATTGGTACATGTGTCTTGTCTTCCAAAAGCACCATGAAGCTAGTGACGGGGATAAAATATCTGGGGTCTCTCCCCAGGCCTGAGCTTAGTCCTGGACCCCAGGAAGCCTGATGTATATAATTGGAAGGCTTTGCTATGCCAGGCACTTGACAAATGTGTTAATCAGAGGGATCTTTGTTTAAAGTCCTGGGAAGATGGGATTTGGGATTATGGAAACCCTAGACATTGTTTTTGTAGAAGGGGCCGACGCTGTTTTCTGAAAGCTAGTGCTAGGAGCAGTGTTAGGCACCTGGCAGATGTTCAAAAGATACTTGTTGAATGAATTCTAGAGCCACGAGACAGTGACAGGGTGGAAAAGGGGTTGGGGAGCTGTATGTTGTGCTTGTTCATCCCACCAAGTCTGGGCTCAGGCACCCAATGGAATGGAATGGAACGGCTATAAGGGATGAGATCCTGTGTTAATATTCCAAACTAAGGATTAAAAAAATCTTAGAAAAGGTGGACAAAATCTTCTTGCTAAAGATGAATATTAGTCTTCAAACTCTAGGAAACCAGTTTGCCTTCTCTGGTAAATAAGCTATTTTTAATAGCTGGACTCAAACGAAAGATTTATTATTATTTTTAAAATAAAGTGACCCAATGAAAGCTGCCACCCTAATGTGAGATACAAAACCAGACCCTTAATTGGCAACACAGGACACAGACACCCTACTGCTGTCTGCAGAGATGCAATAGCCAATAAGACTCGTACTGCAAGCTCCCCAGAACCAAGAGCAGAGAAATGCAAGGAAACGTTGAGACAGAAGATCCAGAGACAGCATTTTAATACACAAACAGTAAGGATAGGTCAGAGCCTTGCTACTCAAAGTGTGGTCCTGGCCCAGCAGCACCCGCATCCCCTGGGAGCTGGTTAGAAATGCTGAATCTCAGGTCCCACCCAGCCCCATTGCATTCTAACAAGATCACGATTTACATTCACATAAACGATTGAGAAGCACTGGGCTAGAACATTTATTAATGTAGTTTTTTGCTCTTAAATTTGTTTTGAGGTCAAAATAAACCCATTTAGAGCACTTTCAGCTCATTATTTGCTCCATTTTCTGCATCTCTGAGCGGCACCATCACATGTCAGCATTCATGCTTTGGGCCATTGAGCCTTTCTTATGAATCACAACAGTATAAAGAAGTCTGAGGCACCATTTCTGTAGACAGCCTTTCAGGATTACAGACTGGATTCCAAAACGTGCAGCAGTTATTCCTTGTGCAACAGCCCCAGAAGGTAGGTTGTATGATTCTGTTTTCAGAGATGATGAAACTGGGGCCCAGGGAAGTTTTGTGACTCACCAATGGCACAAAGCAAATTGGCATGCCAGCCACGACGAGAGCTCAAGCTTTTGAGTTTCCAATGTGAGGATCTCCAAACTTTGATGTCTTTTCTTTTCATATAAGGGGACTTTCACAGAAGAGAGTTTAAGAGAGAACGAATTCTTAGATAACCTGTAGAAGCTACTGAATATGAGCCATGCATGTGTGGGCCCCAGGGAATATGGAAATTTAAGGAAGTCTTTTCCAATGGAATGAGATGTCAGTCCTGAGCAGGCCCTTCCCTGCCCTGCCCTGCTCCCACAGTCCTGCTGCAGCCTGGCAAGAAAGGTCAGCAGTCAGGAGCCTCAAGAAATCTCGCAGCAGACATTTGCTCACGGGTGCTATGAAAGGAGAGGACCAGGGACTACCATGAGGATATGGAGGAAACCAGGTGACTTCTAGGTAACAGTAACCCATCCTCAAGAGGAAGATCACTCAGATTCGTTTGTTTCTTTGACCAAGTTGGAGTGGGTGACATAACTGGACTCTGCCTAAATACACTGTGGTATGCTTCACTGGACTGCATTTCCTAGTTAATTCCATCTCCCTGGCGCAAACAGAACCCTCTCCTTAACTCAGAAATGGTCAAGACCGTATAGCTGGCATTGACATCAATGTGCTTTTCTGAATTTAAGATTTCTCTATTAACCCCATCTAAACAAAGCCCCCAAAGGGGGCTTGTTCAGTTTCACCATCTGGGTGGTGATTTTTCACAGGGTCCTCGGGCGAATGATTGCTTAAACCCCTTCCCCATCCTGTCTACACATGCATAATCAATGGGACATATTTGTATATAATTGATTAAAAAACAAAAAAGACGGTGCACTTTAAAATTCCATGTAAAAAGTACTGCTTTTCTAATGTGCTCCTGCCTGCCTGCTTGCTATACAGTGCTACAGAGGGTCGGGTCAAGAGGAATTCAAGTCTGAAGATGTTTGGGATTTTCAGATGACACCGGTGCACCCTGCACCTTGCACCCTGCCCTGAAGCCCACGTAGTTTCGGAGCTTGGCCTCAGGCAAAAACTACAAAGCGTCCTAATGAGCAGAATTATACAACAGGAATGTATGTGCATATTTGACATAGTTTCTTCTCTTGAGGGGCGGCCCTCTGGCTATGACCCCTGCCCTCTCCAAGGGTGAGGGAAGAGTCCAGAGAAAGCGCCTTTTGTTTCCTTCAGCCAGTTCTTCTCGGAGCCCCTATGGCCCTAGGGACCTGCCCTGCTCCGCGTGGGCCCGCAGCAGCCCTGCAATTTCCACATGGGCGGGGGATTTCAGAACGATGGACAAAGCTGTGTGGCCAGCCTACAGGGGAGAAAGAAAATGAGAAATAAAGTTTATGCCATCTGCCTCCTGCCCCAATTTCTAAAACCCCAGCATGGTTACTGAGTGACAGTGTGAAAGAGGAAGGATGAGTTGGGAGGCGGAGGTATAAGTGGGACATAGTATATTCCAAGCTTCCAGAGACCATAAGAGAGAAAGAGATTCAAATGGCATGAGGATCATGGGAAATGGGGCCCCCTTCCACAGAAACAGGCTGGACTCCTGGGAAATGTGTGCCAATGGAAGTAAGGAAGTGTCATTTTGTTTTTAATGCTTTTTTTAAAAATTAGAAAACAGAATAAATAAAATAAATCTTCCATTATTCCATTACGTAGACCTAAAAACGGAGGCATTTTGGTGTGCTTCCCTCCAGTCTT